GTAAATGCTCGCCCAGGGTCCAATCTAAATTAAAGACGGCCCTGCATGAGGGGGTGTGTAACGGATCACCTGGCACCCCAACTGGGTACCTCCGTTAAAGGATGCTCCTAGCGTTTCCTGAGGACTAAAAGCACTCTGGCAGACACCACAATCACCGAACCGGAGAAGCGTATACCTTCTCTCAAGCATATGAATGCTATAAACAGCTGAATAGGCAAAAACCATACGGAGGGGTTTAGACTCCTAGCAGTCAAACTGGAACAGCATACAATAAATCCTCCCCCAATAATGAGACGACACTTCACTTTGAGGGTTAAGCAGGAACTCCAGGTTTAATCACACCACCTCCTTTTAAGACATTCTCCCATGCAAGGGAGGGATTTACAATAATTAGTACAACAGCCAATCCCATACCTGTTACCTCCCACACATCTCCTCCCCTTAGATTAACACTTAACATAATTATACCGTACACACTTTTCCCCAATTCTTGGATGTACCCCAAATATGGGGAGTACACCTTTAAATGTCCCCTGGTAGCCCTGATCTGGGTGAGACACATATCCAAAAATCACCCAGATCGGACCAGGGGTTCAGGAATTATGGAGGGTTAAAGTTTTGACCGACTGCATTGCAAAAGTATCCGAAAATAGTTCCATGTATTTTGGCCCTGCAGTCGGTCACAAAAAAGGGAATGAAAACACACGAATTGCCTTGGTTATAGAGCTTGGGGAGGATTCGTATGAATCCCCTTGTTCGTGGGATCCTCTCTACCGAATGGCGGGCCGTTCGGTAGTTTCTGCACGAATTGCTGGAAGTCTGGAGGTCTCAGCGGTGTTTGCCTAGTCGAGTGTCCGATTTTAGTTCCAGACACTCGACGGCAAAACACCGCTGTTCGGGAGTTTAAGATGGCGGCCGCCACGTGTTCGTTTACCGAATGGCGGCCACCCAGAGGACAAAGAACACATTACACAGATTGCCAATTACCCGCTTGCAACAATGTTGCAAATGGGTAATTGGAGGCACACTTATTCCCGGGTGGTCTGGCCGTTCGGTAGTTTCAGACGAATGCTGCATACACATATACAATTTAGCCAAACACACAGAAACATACATAATATAAAAGACATCCTTACTGTAATCTGCTACCAAGTCTTAAAGGGGTATTGTTCCTAAAAGTCATAATATGTCCCCGGATGGCCCTTAAAGGGCCAGTAGCAGCAATATAAAATATCACATGCCCAAATATTGCATTAAAAGTACAAATTTACCAGGGGCCATAGTCAGCAGGTAGGAGGCGGGCAGCCAGGCCTCTCCAAGGTCCAGTGGCGAGGCGGGTTCCGCCACAGGGTGCTTCTCTGTATTATGTGTATTTTCGGGGGGGGGGGGTTTGTGTTCGACTTTCTGTGTCCGGGAGATAATTAGTTTAACCAACAGTTGATAATGATCTCCTAAACACAAAGATGCGTAGGCTGGCTTATGTTACTTTGAATGGAGATCCCTGCTGGGGGTCTGTGTATAAATTCAGTGTACCTTGCCTTAATAAAACAATTCTTCTTCCCCCATCACTACGTCTCGACTAGTATTTGGGTAAGATAGTGGTATCCTTAGCAGGAGGGTATTATCACTCTGGAGCTATTCACAACTGAGAAGGGACTACCTATGCCGAAAGTAACCCACCTTCTCGAGGGTATACTGCCACAACCGCCACACAATCCGAGACAGTTACCCTTGGGAACAGCCCGTTCAATTTGTCCACTATTTGGCACTATCCTCCTGATTTAGACACCGAGTGTCTGGATACTTTGTTTAACCATTCACAGTGTTGTATATGTGTATACTTTATTTGTTGTTTTTGACACTATGACCATAGAAACATAGAATGTGGCGGCAGATAATGAACCATTCATCCAATTTTCTAAATACTTTCATTAGTCACTTGCCTTATCTTATAACTAGTGATGTACCGAACGGTTCCTGGCGAACATAGCATGTTCGCGTTCGCCACGGCGGGCGAACATATGCGCGGTTCGACCCGCCCCCTATTCGTCATCATTGAGTAAACTTTGACCCTGTACCTCACAGTCAGCAGACACATTCCAGCCAATTAGCAGCACACCCTCCCTAGCAGACCCTCCCACCTCCTGGAAGGCATCCATTTTAGATTCATTCTCAAGCTGCATGCTTAGTAAGAGGAGGGAAAGTGTAGCTGCTGTTCATAAGATAGGGAAAAGCATAGCTAGGTTAGGGATAAGGGTATGCTTTTTTTTATTTTTTTTTTCTATGTAATGTAAATGCACTTAGTTGTCTGCCACTGCTGCCAGCTTCTGTGTCAGGCTCACAGTGCATACTGTGCCCATTTCCCCAGTCAGTGCCACCAATTACATCTGGTGTCACAATAGCTTGGATTTAAAAACAAAAAACTTTTTTCACTGTTATAGATTGAATAGCGGTCAGTTGTCTGCCACTGCTGCCAGCTTCTGTGTCAGGCTCACA